ATTTATTTTATTGGTCGTTTTCCTGTACAGTACTGAAAGCAAATTGAAGAAACCCCGGAGAACGCTAGATCGGCGACGGTCCTGCACATATGACGTCATATCCCTGTTTCCATCTCTAGACTTTGACGACATCTGCAGGTCCTAACCCGTAGCCTAACCCACAATCCACATATGACGTCATATGTTCTAAAATGTACAGGACCGTCGCCAATCTAGCGTTCTCCAGAAACACCGCGCGGTGGAAGGGTACTTAGCTCTGTATGAGTGTTTGTCAGGTGATTTCGTTTACGCCTGTTTTAATCCATATAAACGTTTTGGTGTTTTCTTCACTATTATTTCCTTTCGTTTGTCTTCTGTGATATATTTATATTAGTTCATTACAAAGAAAGCTCATTATGTTCTAAATATTGGATATTGGGATCCCACATTTTCACGGTAAAATAACAACAATATTGATTGGAATGGACCAATATTGTAGCAAAGGCTACATCTGCCTATTACAGATGCCATCAGATATATCCGATATTATGTAGACTAATGCGGTTCAGTTATATTTCGATTTAATTTTAAACTGGAGGAGCCAGATTTAGCTTCGAACAACCGGTACGTTGGTTGCAATTAAGGCACACGTATTGTCAAACCTTCAAAGGCTGATATATTCACTTGCAATAGAGTAATGTGAATGAAATTTTCAAATTATTGATTTTACATTATCTTTTTTCGAACTATTATAGCACGAATGGCCAGCTCTTTATCTAAATCTTACACAATGTATCTTTAATTTAGAATATTATTGAGTTGGGGGTTTAGTTCCTCTATGTTTTGGAAACTTGAAATAAACAAAAATGGCTCTAAGACCCCATATTAATGTAATATCAAGTAGTAAAATAGGGCACTTGGAGGGGGTATTTCCGGTAGGGTTATCTTCCGCTGTTTTGTTTACCTTATCAACGTCAGAAGAGTTATCCCCCTTTTATTATGGGCGTGGTTGTTGACCCTAGTTACGATAGAATCACGTGACAACGACGTAATATGAACACCATGTCCGTTTAAATTTGAATTGTTGGGTGTGTTTGTGTTTGTAATGTTGTCCGCCTTTTTTTTAAAAAGTGGGGTTAACGGTTAATTGTAGTGATGATGGAAACCCGTGGCAACTAGGTAATATGAAGTTGTGAGTTTAAATTTGAATTGTGGATATGGGGGGGAGGGGGGTCACCGTAATGAGCGTGCGAAGTTCACCTCGAACCCACGCACCGCCCGCCCAGTCCAGCGCGCCCGCGTCCGCCCGCGCCCGCCCGCGGACGCTATGATCTTATTTTTATTCAATGTATTATTGGTGGTGTGAAACAAAATGTTTTATTTGTACCGCGCATGGGCCCCGCCTCGCCACGCCCCAACGTCTTTTTCGTCGTCGCTTCAACCCAAAGACCAAAACATGTCCTAAAAGACATTCCCGTCAATTGTATGGTTAATTGTATTTGTTAATTGTATTTGTTAATTGTATTTGTTAATTGTATTTGTTAATTGTATTTGTTAATTGTATTTGTTAATTGTATTTTTTCATTTAGTCTTGTTATTTCCTCATTTAGTTGATTATTTATAATCTAAGAGAAATGAAACGAGTTTTAACGTCCATACTGACTAATAGGGACTAGATTAATATTTTGGAACTTGAATATTCTCAGATGTCACCAATCAAATAATTGTAGTCATTTGTAGTATTAAGTAATATATTAATTAGTATATTAATTGTTTATATTAATTGAGGTTAATCAAACTCGTGTACTTGTTTTAAAAAATACAAATTGTACATCGTTAAGGTATGAGAAATGTTTTAAAATGATAATTGTAGTCATTATCGCATTAATTAATATGTTAATTAGTATATTAATTGTTTTATATTAATTTAGGTTACTCTAACCCTAACGTACTTAAATGTTTTTATTTTAGCATTTGATAAAATATTTAAGAAAAATAAAAGTGGTTAGTTCTTTAAAAACCAGGTTAATAATATTAATATTACATTATGTATTTAACAGATGTTTTTCGGGGTAGTAGGTGAACTTTTGACCGATATTCTAAAAAATGCCATGAACCTTTTTAAATAAACCAATAACCTATATTCCTTCTATGCCAGTTTTTTTGGGGTTTTTTTTTCCGAGTTGTTAAAAAAAAACTACAAGCTGTATGCTGTTAACGCGTAAGAAAATGGCCTTAAAAAAACAAAAATGACCGGATAATTGTAGTAATTAACGTATTAATTAATGTGCGAATTAGTATATTAATTGTTTTATATTAATCGAGGTTAATTAAACTCACGTACTTGTTAAAATATTACAAGCTGTATGTCGTTAACAGATGAGAAAATGTTTTAAAAGTAAAAGTAGTATTAAGTAATATGTTAATTAGTATATTAATTGTTTATATTAATTGCGGTTAATTAAACTCATGTACTTGTTTAAATAAATACAAGCTGTACATCGTTAAGGTATGAGAAATGTTTTAAAATGACAATTGTAGTCATTATCGTATTAATTAATATGTTAATTAGTATATTAATTGTTTTATATTAATTTAGGTTAGTCTAACCCTAACTTACTTAAATGTTTTTATTTTAGCATTTGAAATATATTTAAGAAAAATAAAAGTGGTTAGTTCTTTAAAAACCAGGTTAATAATATTAATATTACATTATGTATTTAACAGATGTTTTTCGGGGTAGTAGGTGAACTTTTGACCGATATTCTAAAAAATGCAATGGACCTTTTTAAATATGCCAATAACCTCTATATTCCTTCTAGGCCAGTTATTTTTATTTATTTATTTTTTTTGCCGAGTTGTTAAAAAATTACAATCTCTATGCTGTTGACGCGTAAGAAAATGGCTTTAAAAAAACAAAAATGACCAGATAATTGTAGTAATTAAGGTATTAATTAATATGCGAATTAATTATATTGTTTTATATTGATTAAGGTTAGTTAAAACCGACATACTTCAGTAAGATTTTTATTTTTTTATTTTAGCCTTTGAAATATATTTAACAAAAAATATAATAGGTGACCTCTTTTAAAACAAACTGACGGCTAACACTAGATAATGTACTTAACAGATGTTCTAACCGATGGCTTTTGATTTTAAACTAGATAAAACATAATATCGTGCAGTAAAATATTCCATCCACATATATGTGTGTTACATACAGTTGTGATCATGTGATCTGTTTAAAAAAAGGAGCGGCTTATTTAAAAGCTGATGACGAAGCACCATTCCTTTGTTCAATGCCAATCTTTCAGTCTTTCGCGTGGTGGGTGACCTTTGGACCGATATACTAAAACTTAATCTGGAACTATTTAAAATATGTCTATGAACTTTTGTAAACTTTTCCATTGACCTGAATTCATCTAAAATGCAAATGACTTGCGAAATACACAATTGTGATTGGTTTTCTAGGTCTTGCATGAAATGGAAATTCACCGAACATGCAAATAATTTGTGACATACACTCCCTCATTGGTTCTGTTAGATGAACTTTATGCCGTCTGAACCGTATATGTAAATGACTTTGTTTCTGTGGTATATAACCACGATTCCATAAGACCTTCTTACCATTTTTCAAACTTGTGTATCAAAGGAATCCCTTCTATCCTTATAGATTTTTCATTCATTAGTTGTTTTTTTTCAATAAGTGATGTACATATGATTTATTTTAATTTGTTAAAATCATTTACCGATTATTTGTAGATATTGTTTTTTAATTTGATGGAAAGTTTGCATCTGTAGTCAAATGTTTGAAATTTGAACAATATTTCATCTGCTGATAGTTTTATATTTAATGAAAGGTTTTAATAAAATGTGGTGGTATGATGAATCTGTTCCAATATTTGAATTATGAAAATAGTATGACCAAGTTTCCATGACCGAAATATGTTCTTTATATAAATGGGTTTTATTTTCGTTACACAGTATTTTAGATTCGATTTATATATTATAGCGGTGGTCACAGTTATCTTGTATGGAGTTATGACATGTTTTAGCACCATGTAATTTAATATCTTTGAGAACTAAAGAAAATGTCTTCTGTAAAGGCAATTTGGTGACTATGTTTAATTAACTCCAGTCTTTTAGTTGTGACATATGTTTTAATCATCAAAATAAAAGTCAAGCAACTTGGTGTCATTTGATATTCTTGAGAACCAAAGAATATGTCTTTGGCGTGGGAAAGTTTGGCATGTGTTATATAACCAGTGTCTTAGCTGTGTCAGATGGTTTAGCTATCAAATTACAAGGCAACACGACTTTGGTGTCATCTGATATTCTTGAGAATTGAAGAATGCGTCTGTTGCGTGGCAAAGTTTGACAGGCGTTTTTATTGCCAGTGCCTTAGCTGTGCCAGATGTTTAAAATGTTTTCAAAGTATTTGCTTTTTTTTGACAAAAGATTTTGGACAAAGAAACTTTTACCTGTTTTTCTTTGTGTAGTACATATGCTAACATCAATGACTGGAAAAAAAATAACGAAACTGTAGAGAAACTTCTGAATCATTGAAAGTCTAATTATTAGGCCTACACATTGATGACATTGATATAAAAAAAAGGCTGATTTGTTTGTTGTTGTTTTTTTCTTTTACAGAAATATTAAGATTACATTTCAAATAAACAACTTACACAAAAGTTAGTATCTAGCTATAGTCCATGTCTGGATATACATTTCTCCTTTTTTTTGGCCCGAACGTCTATAAAAATCAAAGATGGCGGCCAATAATTGCAACCGGGCATTACTATAAAATCAAGACAGATTCTTACCTGCTGGTCCTAGTCGGGGGTTTCTTGCAATTATAAGTATTTGAACAACGGTGTAGCGCCGATTAGCTAATAATAATTAAGCACGATTTCAAAAAAATTAAGACAGATTCATTAGATTGCTGAATTAGCGGAACACTTTTAGAACACATCAAAAAAAATTTCTTTGTGGCGCCATTAATAAATAGAATTCCGGTGCAGTCAGTGGCAGTGGTTCTAAATCTGACTGTTTTAAACGAAACGAATTATTATATACATAGAAGCAATATATACATGCTAAATTAAATACACGGTTTTATTTTTTGTAAAAATTTACAAACCTGCGGTCTGGTATTCTATGTGACCATTATAATTTTTTTTTAAAAAATATCACGGCTAAAGCACTCTGTTGATGCTAACGTCACTACATCTAACTGAATGTCGCTGATATAATATCAAAGAAAGAATTTGTCGCAATGACTAAAGTATAGATACTTCTTCTTAGTTAGTTGTATTTTACGCCCGCTTCCACCGAAGTGATATCGCAGACAAAAAGTATAGATAACTTGGAGAACCATTATATCAATAAGTCGATTATGAGATACACGTGGATGATCAATTAAATTTGATTGGTTACTTTTCAGTTAACCAATACTGTCCAATTTCGATTACATCAACCAATTACATTATTAAGAGTTTTACTCATTTTTTTTGTTCATTGCACATTGAATCAATTTTCGAAAACACCAGGGTGCTGAAAATCACATGTACACTATATATTCATTTGGTCTATCAGTTTATTGGGTCAATAAAAAAAGACAGACATTTTAACTATATAGACCACTTAACACCAATTAACATTCAAGTCTGTCTGGCAATTGTCTGATTAATTGGTACTCACTCCCTTCCAGTGATTTTCGAGATGTGAATTAAGCCCTTTATTACTTTTCTTAAAACTTGACGACTCCCGAATTCAGACTTTGTATGGAGTTTTTTTCTTAAAAAGAAAACAAATCGTGGAAGGTACACATTACTTGTGTTAATGATATGAAAAAACACACAAGATTTTATAAATCGACACAAGTTTGTGTTAATGCAATGCAAAACAACACATAACTTGTGTAGTTTAGTTTTATCACAAGTACTTGTGTTGAGATCCAACACTAGTGTTTTTTCAGTGTATAAGAGTAGGCCGTAGTGCCGCTGTCCGGGCAAAATTTCCCTTATAGCACACTACTGTATGGCGTATCCCCGTCTTCATTAGCCTAGTTTGGAGCAGAACAGTAGGACGTTAAACCCAAATCATTTCAATTTCAGAAATATGGGTCCCGATTAACTCATATGAAATGGTAGCATTCTTCCTGATCAACATAGACACCATTATGATTTTTCACATTTTCTTTTCCGTTGTGATTTTACATCAATTTTCTTCCCGAAATTAAAAAAAATATGATTTTTCTTTTCATTTAGTCCAAACCAACAGATTACATACAGCTGGAATTGTCAGAAAGAAGGAATAATATGAGTAATTTCTGCCATCGACAAGTTTCGCAAAACACCACGAAGCGCACAATGGAAAATATCAAAAAGAAATTACTGTATTCTCCAGAGAAGAAGTTTTTATATTGTCCAGTGGAAAAAGTTGGATCCACATTTTGGCGACGTTTGTTCTTAATTGTGAATGGCGTCTCTAAAACAAATAACCCATTTAATGTTTCAACATATATGCTTTACAGTAACCGTTACAGCGCAATAAAAGCGGAAACAACAGCAATACGAAATTCTTTAAAGTTTGTTATTGTCCGTGAGCCATATTCTCGTCTTTTGTCCGCTTACGCCAATAAACTGTTTGACATAAATCCAGTTTATTGGTCAATGTACGGACGAAAGGTTATCAAAGCTGTACGGAAAAACCCGAGTAATAAAAGTTTATCTTGTGGTCATGATGTCACATTTCCAGAGTTAGTTCGTTACGTCGTAAAACCACTTGCCATGAAGGATATTCATTTTAATCCTATTTCAGACAAGTGTAGTCCTTGTGACGTAAAATATGACATCATAGGTAAAATGGAAACATTTAAACGGGACACTTTGCATGTTCTAAAGAAACTAAACTTGACCCACTTAGTAATGTCTAGGGCACTTCAAGAAATGGAAGAAGGGGTGGACATTGATACTATCAAAAGCAATACGAACAGTTTGATGAATTACCTCTCGCAAAAAAGAACACTGAAATGTGTAACCCATGAAGAGGCGTTTAAAAGAAAATGGCGGAATTTGCAACTTAGGGGAATTATAGGAAGTGACGTCGAATACCCTTTCAAAGACGGCGAAGAGGAGACAACAACTCACAGTCAATTATTAGCAGTGTTTCTAAATGCTTCTAGACGTTCCGGAAGTCGAAAATCGCGTCGTAAAAACCGGGAACTGTCTTTTTTAGAAGCTTACAGCAAAGTTGAAAAGAAGTATTTAATCCAGTTGAGCAAATACTTTAAAAATGATTGTTCAAGTTTTAGTTATGACTGTAGACCCACAAACATCTTTGAAAAGAACCAAAAACCACACACTAAGTTTTTTGATACAGGGGGTTTATAGGTTCCATATGGAAAGGTTTTAGTTTTGATATATCCCACAGGTTTGAAGTGATTAAAGAAGTGATGGTTTGTTTTGATTTTTGTTTGGAGGCGGGGGAGAGGGTGCGGGTATTTTGCTATTTAGGTTGGTATTATTTATTTTATTGGTCGTTTTCCTGTACAGTACTGAAAGCAAATTGAAGAAACCCCGGAGAACGCTAGATCGGCGACGGTCCTGCACATATGACGTCATATCCCTGTTTCCATCTCTAGACTTTGACGACATCTGCAGGTCCTAACCCGTAGCCTAACCCACAATCCACATATGACGTCATATGTTCTAAAATGTACAGGACCGTCGCCAATCTAGCGTTCTCCAGAAACACCGCGCGGTGGAAGGGTACTTAGCTCTGTATGAGTGTTTGTCAGGTGATTTCGTTTACGCCTGTTTTAATCCATATAAACGTTTTGGTGTTTTCTTCACTATTATTTCCTTTCGTTTGTCTTCTGTGATATATTTATATTAGTTCATTACAAAGAAAGCTCATTATGTTCTAAATATTGGATATTGGGATCCCACATTTTCACGGTAAAATAACAACAATATTGATTGGAATGGACCAATATTGTAGCAAAGGCTACATCTGCCTATTACAGATGCCATCAGATATATCCGATATTATGTAGACTAATGCGGTTCAGTTATATTTCGATTTAATTTTAAACTGGAGGAGCCAGATTTAGCTTCGAACAACCGGTACGTTGGTTGCAATTAAGGCACACGTATTGTCAAACCTTCAAAGGCTGATATATTCACTTGCAATAGAGTAATGTGAATGAAATTTTCAAATTATTGATTTTACATTATCTTTTTTCGAACTATTATAGCACGAATGGCCAGCTCTTTATCTAAATCTTACACAATGTATCTTTAATTTAGAATATTATTGAGTTGGGGGTTTAGTTCCTCTATGTTTTGGAAACTTGAAATAAACAAAAATGGCTCTAAGACCCCATATTAATGTAATATCAAGTAGTAAAATAGGGCACTTGGAGGGGGTATTTCCGGTAGGGTTATCTTCCGCTGTTTTGTTTACCTTATCAACGTCAGAAGAGTTATCCCCCTTTTATTATGGGCGTGGTTGTTGACCCTAGTTACGATAGAATCACGTGACAACGACGTAATATGAACACCATGTCCGTTTAAATTTGAATTGTTGGGTGTGTTTGTGTTTGTAATGTTGTCCGCCTTTTTTTTAAAAAGTGGGGTTAACGGTTAATTGTAGTGATGATGGAAACCCGTGGCAACTAGGTAATATGAAGTTGTGAGTTTAAATTTGAATTGTGGATATGGGGGGGAGGGGGGTCACCGTAATGAGCGTGCGAAGTTCACCTCGAACCCACGCACCGCCCGCCCAGTCCAGCGCGCCCGCGTCCGCCCGCGCCCGCCCGCGGACGCTATGATCTTATTTTTATTCAATGTATTATTGGTGGTGTGAAACAAAATGTTTTATTTGTACCGCGCATGGGCCCCGCCTCGCCACGCCCCAACGTCTTTTTCGTCGTCGCTTCAACCCAAAGACCAAAACATGTCCTAAAAGACATTCCCGTCAATTGTATGGTTAATTGTATTTGTTAATTGTATTTGTTAATTGTATTTGTTAATTGTATTTGTTAATTGTATTTGTTAATTGTATTTGTTAATTGTATTTGTTAATTGTATTTTTTCATTTAGTCTTGTTATTTCCTCATTTAGTTGATTATTTATAATCTAAGAGAAATGAAACGAGTTTTAACGTCCATACTGACTAATAGGGACTAGATTAATATTTTGGAACTTGAATATTCTCAGATGTCACCAATCAAATAATTGTAGTCATTTGTAGTATTAAGTAATATATTAATTAGTATATTAATTGTTTATATTAATTGAGGTTAATCAAACTCGTGTACTTGTTTTAAAAAATACAAATTGTACATCGTTAAGGTATGAGAAATGTTTTAAAATGATAATTGTAGTCATTATCGCATTAATTAATATGTTAATTAGTATATTAATTGTTTTATATTAATTTAGGTTACTCTAACCCTAACGTACTTAAATGTTTTTATTTTAGCATTTGATAAAATATTTAAGAAAAATAAAAGTGGTTAGTTCTTTAAAAACCAGGTTAATAATATTAATATTACATTATGTATTTAACAGATGTTTTTCGGGGTAGTAGGTGAACTTTTGACCGATATTCTAAAAAATGCCATGAACCTTTTTAAATAAACCAATAACCTATATTCCTTCTATGCCAGTTTTTTTGGGGTTTTTTTTTCCGAGTTGTTAAAAAAAAACTACAAGCTGTATGCTGTTAACGCGTAAGAAAATGGCCTTAAAAAAACAAAAATGACCGGATAATTGTAGTAATTAACGTATTAATTAATGTGCGAATTAGTATATTAATTGTTTTATATTAATCGAGGTTAATTAAACTCACGTACTTGTTAAAATATTACAAGCTGTATGTCGTTAACAGATGAGAAAATGTTTTAAAAGTAAAAGTAGTATTAAGTAATATGTTAATTAGTATATTAATTGTTTATATTAATTGCGGTTAATTAAACTCATGTACTTGTTTAAATAAATACAAGCTGTACATCGTTAAGGTATGAGAAATGTTTTAAAATGACAATTGTAGTCATTATCGTATTAATTAATATGTTAATTAGTATATTAATTGTTTTATATTAATTTAGGTTAGTCTAACCCTAACTTACTTAAATGTTTTTATTTTAGCATTTGAAATATATTTAAGAAAAATAAAAGTGGTTAGTTCTTTAAAAACCAGGTTAATAATATTAATATTACATTATGTATTTAACAGATGTTTTTCGGGGTAGTAGGTGAACTTTTGACCGATATTCTAAAAAATGCAATGGACCTTTTTAAATATGCCAATAACCTCTATATTCCTTCTAGGCCAGTTATTTTTATTTATTTATTTTTTTTGCCGAGTTGTTAAAAAATTACAATCTCTATGCTGTTGACGCGTAAGAAAATGGCTTTAAAAAAACAAAAATGACCAGATAATTGTAGTAATTAAGGTATTAATTAATATGCGAATTAATTATATTGTTTTATATTGATTAAGGTTAGTTAAAACCGACATACTTCAGTAAGATTTTTATTTTTTTATTTTAGCCTTTGAAATATATTTAACAAAAAATATAATAGGTGACCTCTTTTAAAACAAACTGACGGCTAACACTAGATAATGTACTTAACAGATGTTCTAACCGATGGCTTTTGATTTTAAACTAGATAAAACATAATATCGTGCAGTAAAATATTCCATCCACATATATGTGTGTTACATACAGTTGTGATCATGTGATCTGTTTAAAAAAAGGAGCGGCTTATTTAAAAGCTGATGACGAAGCACCATTCCTTTGTTCAATGCCAATCTTTCAGTCTTTCGCGTGGTGGGTGACCTTTGGACCGATATACTAAAACTTAATCTGGAACTATTTAAAATATGTCTATGAACTTTTGTAAACTTTTCCATTGACCTGAATTCATCTAAAATGCAAATGACTTGCGAAATACACAATTGTGATTGGTTTTCTAGGTCTTGCATGAAATGGAAATTCACCGAACATGCAAATAATTTGTGACATACACTCCCTCATTGGTTCTGTTAGATGAACTTTATGCCGTCTGAACCGTATATGTAAATGACTTTGTTTCTGTGGTATATAACCACGATTCCATAAGACCTTCTTACCATTTTTCAAACTTGTGTATCAAAGGAATCCCTTCTATCCTTATAGATTTTTCATTCATTAGTTGTTTTTTTTCAATAAGTGATGTACATATGATTTATTTTAATTTGTTAAAATCATTTACCGATTATTTGTAGATATTGTTTTTTAATTTGATGGAAAGTTTGCATCTGTAGTCAAATGTTTGAAATTTGAACAATATTTCATCTGCTGATAGTTTTATATTTAATGAAAGGTTTTAATAAAATGTGGTGGTATGATGAATCTGTTCCAATATTTGAATTATGAAAATAGTATGACCAAGTTTCCATGACCGAAATATGTTCTTTATATAAATGGGTTTTATTTTCGTTACACAGTATTTTAGATTCGATTTATATATTATAGCGGTGGTCACAGTTATCTTGTATGGAGTTATGACATGTTTTAGCACCATGTAATTTAATATCTTTGAGAACTAAAGAAAATGTCTTCTGTAAAGGCAATTTGGTGACTATGTTTAATTAACTCCAGTCTTTTAGTTGTGACATATGTTTTAATCATCAAAATAAAAGTCAAGCACCTTGGTGTCATTTGATATTCTTGAGAACCAAAGAATATGTCTTTGGCGTGGGAAAGTTTGGCATGTGTTATATAACCAGTGTCTTAGCTGTGTCAGATGGTTTAGCTATCAAATTACAAGGCAACACGACTTTGGTGTCATCTGATATTCTTGAGAATTGAAGAATGCGTCTGTTGCGTGGCAAAGTTTGACAGGCGTTTTTATTGCCAGTGCCTTAGCTGTGCCAGATGTTTAAAATGTTTTCAAAGTATTTGCTTTTTTTTGACAAAAGATTTTGGACAAAGAAACTTTGATTTTGCTTAAGTAAATCCATCTTAATAAATGATGACTCCCAACACACACACGCATGCACAAACACACACTCGGTTCCCAACATGCACACATACACAGATTCGCCAACCACACTCATAGGCTGCCACACCCACACACAACCCTCCCAACACACACACAGTGCTCAACATGCACACATACACAGACACACCCACTACACTCATGGACTGCCACACTTACACACAACCCTCCCACCACACACGCTCTAATTGACTGGGACACCGACACACAATCACCCACAAATCATCTTAACTGTCAAATATACACTGAAAAAAAACTTGTGTTGAAACAACACAAACTTGTGTTGTTTTCAACACAAGTAAGGTGTCTCTATTTAACAACACAAACTTGTGTTGAAACAACACAAAACTTGTGTTAAATGTTGAAACAACACAAAACTTGTGTTAAAATTTATCAAACAACACAAACTTGTGTTGAAACTTGTGTGAAAATCTACACAATACTTGTGTTGAAATTTTTGAAACTTGTGTTGAAATTTTTGAAACTTGTGTTGCAATTTCTGAACTTTGTGTTAAAATTTCTGAAACTTGTGTTGAGATTTCTGAAACTTGTGTGGTTTCATACAAACTTGTGTATAACCATCCACAAAAACTTGTGTTGTGTTTTTCCCCAATTTATATACAGTATAGCAACCTTTCTATGCAGGACCCATCTCTTTGCTCTGTTAGACCTGTAAAGTTTGATAAAAGAAGGAAACAAAATTTGTTTTTGTTTTTGTAAGATTATTATTTATTCATAAAATCATTGGAAAAAGTAAATTAATACATCAAAACTAAATAGATATTTGAAATGTTAACAGAAAAACAGAGAATTCTAATACTAATTATATTGTGTTATATATAATGACCCCCCTCCCCCCCCCCCCCCCCACACACACACACCCCACTTTACCCATCACAAAATATAACATAGCTATTTAAATTGTTCTTAACCCCACACACTTTACCTATCACAAAATATAAAATAGCTATATAAATTGTTCTTTACCCCAAAACAAGAACTGAGAATATAAAGATATGTACACAGTATCCCTACCCCATACTCCAAAATATATAATTCAAATAATATCTAAATTTAATAACATCCAAACCAAGCACTAAGATTAATTATGCACTAAATTGAAACAATTTCAAAAACTGAAAAGTGCTACAAAATCACACTACAAGTGATTTGTGAGACATATAGAAATAACTAATATACACAGAAAACTAACAAAAGAAAAATGCACTATTTTGCAGGAGTAATAAAATGATGTAAAACCTTTTCCTCATTAAAAAACCCCAAACAAAATGAATATTTTGTAAATAAAAGAAGCAAAGCATCAAGATTACAGGATTGAAATAAAAAAATATCATATGTACAAAAAATTTATATACAATCACAAGTCATAAGCCACAGTGGTTCAGTGAGTATAAGGTGTTGGCCGAGAAATTTCAACTGGATTTTCCGGCATAGTTCCCACTTGTCAGTAGTCTTGGATATGGCAAGGGATAATTGGGTACAAGCCCGGAATCGAAAGAGAGAGAGAGAGAAATGGGGTTTAACGTCCACTTGACACAAACTAGGTCATTTCGGGATTAACATATGGTTTAATTTTATTTCAATAATTCGTTGCGCATAGGGGTCTTTAGCAGTGGGAGGAAACCGTAGGTCCCGTAGAAAACCCTCAAGATTGGACAGGCGACCCTACTCCTTGTCACGTACAACCGGGGATTCGAAACCACGCCAGTTGACTCAATGACAGGCTGTATGATACCGCACGCACATGCTTACCATTCGGCCATCCACCACCCCCTCCCCCATTCCCGGAATCGAAACCATCCCCACTGCGTTCACTTAGAAGAAGCCTTGACAATTGAATTATTTGACTCAATGACAGACTTCCCGATCAAATGTGTGCGTGTTAATCATTGCCCCCCCCCCCGGGTTCCCGTTAAAGAACCCTTGACAGTTGAAATATTTGATATAAGAGTAGGGTGTAGGGCAGAATCACTCTAAGAACACAGAAAAGTAGGATACTAAACCGTATTTCATTTCATAAGCAAGGGAAAGTCACCTTTATGTAGGTCAAGGTTTTTTGTAATTCTGGGTGTATTTGATCTACATTTGGTTTCTAGTAATGCCTATTAAATACTTTATGATTTCTGACCAAATTCTAAGTGATTTATATGCCACTTTACTTGCTATATTATACATACATTTCTGAAGAGAATTAAAATCTAATTGTGTTTTGGAAGAAAATTTAACATTAATAACAAAAAATAAATATTCAAAAATTGGGTCAAATGCATTCTTTCCCAGAAGTATAAAATAAATTGATGCTTGGGTTTTCTTGTTGTTATCATACAGCAAGTACTCTTTCAATGGTGTTCCAGCCTAAAAAATAAAAAGTAGGAGATAAGAATACTTTCTATGGTTCACAATGTTTAAATAAACAATTTATTTTTGCCACATCGAGACCGAGTCTCTATTTGGTTTCAACTTTGCGTAATGTCTAATTATTTTTGGACCCATTCTTATTTTATTTCCATTGACAACAAATTGGATATTACCCTTTAAAATCTACTGAAATCTATTTGAAAGTAAAATACTGTCCATCATTATTTTACTGCTATTTACTGTAAAAATACACATACATGTAGGGCCTATCGCAACTTGAAGGAAATCAATGGATGTGATTGGCAAAAATCAAGCATGCCAAGTACTTGAAACAGCAGAGTCCTAGGCATTGCCCCAAGAAGAATAACTAGATTACCAAGCAAGTGTATAGAAGTACTTCCTGATTAAAAATACAAATATATATGTTACTTACATTTTGCGTGTTTTCCCCTTGTCAGTGATACAGGACGGAGGACCTGACAAGGACAGCTGTCTAGTTGTTCGGATGGGACGAAAAACCGAGGTCCCGTGTACACATTGGCGTGCACATAAAAGATTCCTTGGCAATTGGAATTCGATATAAGAGTAGGCTGTAGCGCCGCTGCCCGGGCAAAATTCCCTTCATAGCACACTGTATGGCGTATGCCCGTCTTCATTAGCCCAATTTATGAGCAAAACAGTAGGATGTTAAACCCCATTTCATTTCATTTTCAAAATTATAAAATAATTTGATGGCTTAATATTCAAAAGGTACAGTCCTTCATGTTTATAAAATTGTACGGGAGCCATAAAAAGCTCCTGATACCTTGAATATATGCAGTTTAAAAGTAAACAAAAATCTCAATATTTAGGAGAGAGAGAGAGAGAAATGGGGTTTAACGTCCATCCAACCCCCCCACCAAGTGTATAGAACCAGTTCCTGATTTAAAAAGCAAATATGCATGGTACTTACATAGTCTTTGTCTGATAAGCAAGATCTGTGAGAAAACGTCTCCACAATATCAATAGCCCTTTCCAACTTGATCTTCCGAGGTGGGTAACTGAAAAAAAAATGTCAATGTATTAGTTGGCTTAAATTGACTAGACAGTTTTGATTAATTAAAAAAATGTTACTTTAATTACATTTGTTTTGTTTCATGTGTTGGTTTGCTTTGCCACAGATGAGACAGTGATATCTACATATAACTAAGATTCTGTCTCTGCTCATACATGACGTGTACAGTTTTACTATACTAAACTGAATTTTAGATTTCAAAATAGCATAACAATCTTTTCTATTAGAATTGAAAAGTTACCCACCAAGAAAAAGCTGCTCTATCATCATTTTTTCCAGCCATTTCTTCTTCCTTTTTTTCTTTTATAATTTCTTTTGTTATTACATGAGCTTTTTCTGGGTGATTTGCATATACATCCAATATTGAAACTGAAAAAATAAATACATGATATGTAATTTACGATTAAAGCTACCTTACCATATATACAAACTGTGTGATATGAAATTGAAACTAATGTATCTATATGTATCAAAAGTTTTAATCCCAAGGAACTACCAAGCCGTAAAAGTCTATCTTAATAATCCTTGTTTGTCACATGGTTTCACTGTCGCAGTAATTAGAAGACGGCCATGGTGACTGAGTAAATTAGGTGCTGGCACACTAGCATGGAGGCCACAGGTTATCTCTTGGGGTTGACCGAGAAAGCTCATCTTGATTTTGCAGAGTGGTTTCCCCTGAGATCCAATGTACACATTGGCGTACACATAAAAGTTCTCTTGGCAGTTTGAATTCGGTATGAGAGTAGGCCATAGTGTCGCTGCCCAGACAAACATTTTCACTTAGCACAATGCATTAGACCAGTCGGAGCTGACCAGTAGGACGTTGTCTTTAAACCCCATTTCATTTCAGGTAATCTAGTATTTTTCTAGTAAGATTGAAGTCTCTCTACTTTCTTTATATGTAAATATCATATTTGAAATAAGTCATACTTTTATTCGATATGGGGTGGGGCTGGGGGGAATGGTCTAGTAGGTAATGCATGCGCATGAAATCACAGGGTCTGTCATTGTGTTAAGTGGCATGGTTTCAATTTCAAGGAGTAGAGTCGCCTGTCCAATCTCTTGAGTTTTTTCGCTGGGTCATTCGGTTTCCTCCGTTTTCTAAATACAATTCAATATAAATCAAACACGAAAATACTTTAAAACAGTAATCATGATGCAATATTAGACTTTTTAACACTTTCATCGAAAACCACACAGTTTTTCTCTGTTAACGTAGTTTCAAGTGCCAAATTGTGGTCAAATCTAAAATGTTGAAACATGCAGTGCCTATCAATTTTAAAATATCTCCTATATAGCTGTATTTCCATAGGATAAGTAAGTTGAAATAATCTGATTATGTAACACTACAACAGCTTTTTCATCCCTACCCCCCAGTTTGGAATCTGATAATTTAAAAGCACATGAATTTTGAATTCCACAGAACATTTTTATTTTTGAACATAAATGCATTCTTCAAAAAGATGAGATGAATTCAATATAAATCAAACACGAAAATACTTTAAAACAGTAATCATGATGCAATATTAGACTTTTAACACTTTCATCGAAAACCACACAGTTTTTCTCTGTTAACATAGTTTCAAGTGCCAGATTGTGGTCAAATCTAAAATGTTGAAACATGCAGTGCCTATGAATTTCAAAATATCTCCTATATAGCTGTATTTCCACAGGATAAGTAAGTTGAAATAATCTGATTATGTAACACTACAACAGTTTTTTCATCCCCACCCCCCGGTATGGAATCTGATACATTGCTGACCAATCATAGGTCGCCCCGTTCACTCGGGCGTGTCAAATGATTTACAATGGCGATGGTGCCTACAACTTTCCTGACCAAGAGATATGCACAACCGTCGATCAACACACAAGCCATTAATGTTATCTTCCAATATGAGAGGCCATGATAAACACACAAGCGTCCTTTTCAAGCTCGGAAATTAAGTCATCACCAAAAAGCAAAGTTTACAGAGGTCCTCGGGGCTGGAACCCAAACTGATTACGATTTGCCCTCCACTTCCACCACAGGTGTCATAGAGATCAGGGATGAAATTGATATGCATCATCGTTCTCCTAAAGCAGTCCAGGAAGAGATCAGGTTTTGAGATGTAGACCTGAAATGTTAAATTTGGATGAGAATGAGAATTCTGGGGCGAATACTATCCAGGGAAATGGTCATTGACATCCAGAAAATGGTCAAAATGTGGAATTCTGTCATTCAGTTAAATGTCAAGGGGAGAAGACAGGCCTGTGCAGTACCAAATTTCCAGCCCATTACTATTCGTCAGCAGAAGTGGGGATGAGGTTGGATGTACTTCTTAAAGTGTATGAAATGCACATTTATCTCACCTGTTTTGCTTCTTTTTTTTTAATACTTGTGTTGAGGTCAATCATTCCACTCTATGAAACATTGCCCTGGCACCTGAAATAATAGGAGGCTGGGGATAAATATGCAATAAAAAACAGTGAGAAAATAAGAAAAAAATATGGTTTCAACTGGAAATAGAAATAAACCTCTTTATTTCTCGCGAACAGCCCGTCACTGGCCCTCCAAAAAGAAACCAGTTAACAATCAGTAAAAAAGTAAACCTTGAGTGTCACATAAGTCTAAGCCAATCTCAAAGGTAGATGCCATGTTTTGAGGTTCGGTCTAAATATTAAGGCCAACTGCATGTTTGGTCAAAAGTCACACAGGTGTGAATTTTGGAGTGTACATGTTAACATTTCATTGTATGATATCAAACCATGTTAGGTCTAAATGTTAAGGCCAACTGCAGACTTGGTTCAAGGTCACAACATGTAAATAGGGTTAGGGCACATGATTTTTTGACACAATTGTGGGTTTGGGCTAGGGTCAGAACTAGGTCTTGGCTTAGGCCTAGGCTACATGCTTTTTGACAAGATTGTGGGTTAGGGTTAGGGTAAGGACTGGGTCTTGGGTTAGGGTTAGGGTCAGTCTTGTTTACATCTCGTGACTTTCGACCAAATCTGGAGTTGAGTTGGCCTTAATATTTAGACCTAACCATGTTTTGATATCATTGTGAACAAAATGTTACACATTTACAACCCAAAATTCACACTCAACCAACGGATACCCCCAATCATGGCTATTTTGATACCAAATAGTCAAAAAACTTACTGCTGGGCAATAAAAAAAGCAGTATTCTTACCATTTCTGACACTTTCCATTCAAAACTTCAGGAAATAAGCCGTTGAAAAAATATCAACATCCCGAGTCGGCCATGCTTCTTTATATCATCAGGAGTCAGACTAGCAATTATTTGCCCATTGATTTCAATGTTAAATGACTGTAACATCACAGGCTGTAGCTTTTTGCTCAACATTCCGTTGGTTCCAATCTTTATAGGCACAATGGGGACAACATTTGGCAATCTCCTCATCATAATTTTGTAGGGGGTTGACCGTTTAGATTTTTTTGCTACACGGATTTGAAGTTGACAGGGGTGAAAATCTCACTTCCGACACAATGATTGCTCTGCAGAAAGACACTTTACACCCCCTATCCCTCCGCTGTAATATCATCAGTATTACCCAAAACTGCTATGAAATTGCAAATTTGATCCCTTTTCTCCAATTCTAGACCAAAAAGTCAACCCAAAAATGCAGGAAGAGGGGAGAAAAAAATTAAGGGAAAAATTGTCTATTTATAACTCGCACTACATTCGACAATCATGAAATAAGGGGAAATAATTACTAGTCTTAGTCCTGACTCCTTTATTAGGGTTGTCTTTCTTGCTTTTATCTTCCATTTATTTGCGTTTTTGTTGTCTCAGAGATGGACTATTATTTAAAAAAAAAAGTTGAAAATCGTAAAGTTTAGGAAATGTTAATCATATAATGATGAAAAAAAAATAAGAGCATATGATAATAAAAATGTGTTTGAAATTGAAGGCTCTATAATTAGCCTATAATTAAGGTATCATCAAAAACACACTTTTATGGATAACAATTACTATGGTTTATTTCACTGCGACGTTTCAACAAGGTTTCACAAGTCTTTATCAAGCATATATACAAATAGATAAAAAATGAGAAAGATATGAATATAAATACAAACATCAGTGCTAGTCTGGCTCAGAAGGGTTGATGACATCTTCGTCATGCTAAAAGAAGAAGAAGATGCGTTCGTCCTCCTGAATCACCTCAACAACCAACATCCAAGAATGAAGTTTACAATTGAAAATGAAACCAACAGCAGCCTTCCATTTCTTGATGTACTGGTAAGAAGAGAGAACGCCAATATCACCACCTCAGTGTACCGAAAACCAACACATACAGATCAGTATATCCACTACCAATCTAATCACCCCATCAGCACTAAAACAGGCATTATCACCACTTTAACCAAAAGAGCCAAGAATATTTGTGACCCTGAATCCCTTCCCGCAGAAATTCAACACTTGAAAAAAGTATTCACCCAGCACAACGGATACCCAGAACAAATGGTCAACAAGCTCATCAATGCCACACTTGCCGACCTACCAAAACCTGATAAACCCCAAAACGATAAACATCCAATTAGAATCTTCATACCTTTCCACGGCAACATCTCTCACCAAATCAGAAGATTATTGAAAAAGGAAGCGGATATTGAAACCACTTTCTTGAAGGGCACAACAACCAAAGACATAGCAAAAGCGAATGGAAAGTTGAACCCCACCAAACCCTTCTCACCAAAAGGCTGTGTCTACAAAATCAACTGCAGTTGCCAGCAAAGTTACATTGGAGAATCTAAAAGACCATTAGATATCCGACTGAAAGAACACATGTCAAAAGCCCCCACCAACCAATCTGCAGTTGCTGAACATCTGAATGACAACCCACGACACCGTGTCGATTGGACCAAAGTTAAAACGTTGGCTGTGAACCACCACAGCAAAAGAATCAGAAGAATACATGAGGCGATCAATATCAGAAGACATGAACCGAAACTGAATCGAGACCCAGGCGTCTATATCCCCAGAGCATATGACCGCATTATCAAATTGTAACACAGTCCCCCTAAGTAATTCCCCATGCAAAACCATATTTAGCTACTGGCATTTTCCAATACCGAATTCATTGTATATTCCATACCCACAACCCTCACATTTTATAATTCTCTGTTAACAATATGTAAAATTTGTATGTTTCAATTAATTTCTATAATTTATTTAGCTATTCACAGTATTTTATGTTATGTTATACCTCTCATATTTATAATTATAAAAAGGTTTCATCATAGGGCCCTCTGCTTAATTTATCATTATTTATTTATATTTTATTCAACCCTTTGATATATATTCACCTTGTAAATACATATATGCAACTTATTACTTAACTTTAAAACATAACCGTAAAATTCTATATTTCCTAACTGTTATAATCAATGTAAACATTATGGTTTGATATAATTCTATAAACCCCCAGTTTAGTAATCTTAGTATATACTGGTTTCAGTTATGGTACACTGTGTATGGTTTCAATATTTGTTAATCTTGGTTAATGCCCTGTTTCATCTTTTAATTGTACAATAAGCCAACTCTAATATATACGATTATGCACCTTTGTTACATCAATAGCTTGTTATTGCTAATCATGCTCACCCACCTTGCATTCCATTGGATAGTTCGCACTGATGTTTGTATTTATATTCATATCTTTCTCATTTTTTATCTATTTGTATATATGCTTGATAACGACTTGTGAAACCTTGTTGAATCGTCGCAGTGAAATAAACCATAGTAATTGTTATCCATAAAAGTGTGTTTTTGATTATGTTCCAATTACTAAATGCCATTCAAAGAATAAATTAAGGTATCAGTATGGAACGGATCGTAATCGTACGGTATTTACTACGGTCAGACTGATATTTAGGAACGTAAAGTTATCAGTCTGGAACGGATAGTAATCGTGCGGTATTCACTAAGGTCATACTGATATTTAGGAACGTAAAGAAGACCATTTTACTAACCGTCTCCATTTTAAGAAAGAGCAGATATAAATATATGATTATATCGACAGAATCTCCACACGAATCTTTAATTTAGTAGAAGAAGAGCAAGTTGATCATTGTCGCCATATTTGACCTATTTCTCTATTGGTTGTATATGCATTAAGGCGTGGATCTAACCAACCCGAGTAGCTCATTATTGAGCCGAGTGATTTATGAAATGAAATTGGGGTTTGATGACCCGCATTCCTTCACTATTCAGGCTAATGAACACGAGGCGTTCAAGCCAGCTCTTTATTCACAGAGCCGCCTGGCTCCCCTGAGAGACTTTCACTGACAACTAGTCATTGTCGAGACTAATGATTTTTATCGCCGCTGTTGATCAATATATATATTAAATAATAGCCCGAATTTAAGTATACCAAAAGTTAAAGAAATATAACCAGTTGTTGAGCCATTCAGATATGACTGCCAAAATTGTAATCAGCGCGCATGTTTTTTTAGGCTAAAGTCTAACCATAAAACTTAGTGTCCATACATAATAAATATTTTATTCCATTAATCAATTCCATTCCGCCATTGGTTTGTCTTAAACTCGTCATTTGTGTTCATGGGCATCAGGGTCGAGATGGCAACGTTATATGTTTTATTCGTCTAATTTACTATAAAACATCATTCGGTTTGCCTCACGGGTTAACGGCATATCAATAGCTTTATTCACTGAGATGGTTCCTTTACTTATAGTTTATTTTTCGAATTGCTTTTTGTATTTATTTAAATGGAAATATTTAGCACCTTCTTGTTAAACCGTTGAAAGATTTAAAGTTTGGATTAATGTTAAGAGAGTGTGGGTCAAAGATGCCGCTGGCAGAGTGTGTATAGGGTGTTAAAGTTTAAAAGTTATTCCCTACAAGGTGGATCTACGGTTCTTACCATAGAATTCAGCTGTGAAATAACACAGTTTCTTTCATTATGTGTACAACAATAAAACTAGTTCAATTGCAAGTTGTCTAAACCACGGTGCTGTGATGTATGCATCTAAATGTTTCGACGACCCACCAATCAGTAGTTGCATGATGATTAAATTTATCGGACATGGAATGTGAAAATGCTTTGGAACTTTCAACTGTAACACGTTGCAATAATTACTCAATATAAGCCAAAAGGATCCGCCTTGTTCATTTATAGTCCGGCCCTGTCTTCAGTATTAAAATATAAAATTGAACACAAAGTATATTTAGTAATCCGTATTGTAGTAATGGCAATCACGGCTTGTGTTTTTTTGTTTTGTTTTTTGTTGTTTGTTTTTTTTGCAAAATATAAAATAATTACGATGTCGTTTAACACTCACAATAACATATTTGGTTACCGGCCATTCAGCCATTCAGGTCGTACATGTGTCAAGTATACAGTCATATATACAAACGCCTAACTATAGAAGCCTACCATTCTTAATTTCTACTTTTCGCCCTCCAAAACACGAAAGTCGAAAAGTAGCAGTTACGACAAAATGTGAGGCGACAGCAACGCTATACAAGCCTAAATCGACTCGAAAATAGGAAATCAAGAAATAATACACTGCGATAATAGCGCCCCTCGTTTTTTTTCCTAATTTCTTATTTTCGACTTGCATTTTGGCTTGTATACCGTCTTGTTGACTTTCGACTTAGTCATATTTTTGTATTTATTGATGTCAGTAAGATGTTACTATGGAGAACGTAAATTTCAGATTATACATTCCAGACTTCGTAATTGTAAAAGTGCTCTAAACTTCCATAGATTTTTAATGCATATTTCACATAACCCGACATGCAGTTGTGGTCATACTCAAGAAGACAGCGACCATTATTTTCTGCACTGCCCAAATTATTCGTCTCCGCGTATCTCAACATTAAATACCGTCACATTTAAATCCATAAATACAAAAGCGTTCCTATATGGCGATACCAACGAAAGTAACCCGTTCAACAAAGTGAGTTAAAGTAAAGTTCACAAGTATTTAAAACTAAACAAGCGCTTTGAATAGATAAGGTAATTGTCAGGCGACGATGATTGGTGTTAAATAGTGATGATGACGATGATGATGACGATGATGATGACCATGAAGATGATTTATTTATATATTTATTTATATACTAGAAGAATGCCCGGCTTCGCTCGGGGGTCATAACTCCGAAACCGGAAGTGGTAGACTAACGCCACCTGGCCTATGTTACTCCCCGGTCCGAGCTACCCCTATACCCCAAATTTCAGACTCGGAAATGACAACGTGAATGATGGATCAGTCGAACGACAGAGTGAATGACAGGAGTTTTCCAGTCGAATAATAAAGATAATGACAACTCTGGTCATAGCATATCTGTTTATAATATATTTCATATAAATGTTTATACACGTATTTGAAAAATACATTTAGGTCTACGTGTAATGTTGAATGTATAAATTCGGAAATGTTTTGATCTCTTGAACTGTATTATTTAAAATACACGATTAACGTATTAAATTGTAAATAATGAATCAAGCCAAGACATGTATTAAATGTTTTAAATGTTTTATTGAATTGGAATAGAAACTGAAAACAGATTAACACCCTGTGTGAGATATTTCATTCAAATATTGTGAAAGGGTTGGTAATAAAATTAAAATTGTCATTGTGTCATTTTAATAACATTGAATCGTCCTATTCTGTTACGTAGTCGTCTCAACATATTGTTGTCATGGGTTACTTCTGCTAAACAACTCAATAGAAACGAGTAAAGTATTATAAACGAAATTATGTCTAAAGAGTTCTTCATGACATGTATTGACTGTAAGACACAAAGCGTACAGGATCTAAGTGTGATTTTAAAGGTCAACACGCAAATATTGAAATTGGGTATGTTCGTGGATTGACTTATAGAATGTTGTTAATATTTCCATTTAAATAAATACAAAAAGCAATTCGAAAAATAAACTATAAGTAAAGGAACCATCTCAGTGAATAAAGCTATTAATATGCCGTTAACCCGTGAGGCAAACCGAATGATGTTTTATAGTAAATTAGACGAATAAAACATATAACGTTGCCATCTCGACCCTGATGCCCATGAACACAAATGACGAGTTTAAGACAAACCAATTGCGGAATGGAAATGATTAATGCAATATATATATTTTATTATGTATTGACAATACTTTTCTGGTTAGATTTTAGCCTAAACACGACATGTGTGTTGGTGACAATTTTGGCAGTCATATCTGAATGACTCAAAAACTGTTTATATTTCTTTAACTTTTGGTATACCTAAATTCGGGCTATTATTTATGGTAGAAAGATATGTTGAGGCACCCTAAATTGAATTTGAAGCACCTGGGATAAATAAATAAAAATAGCTATAATGCATGATTTTATTGTAACTAGTGAACTGATAAATATTGTACAATTTATCTAAAGAGTACATTTATGAAAACGTGGTACTTTTCTGATATCTAGTTAAATTAACACTTACCCAGATCTTGGCATAAGCATGACTTAAAATGATCACGGCTAAAACACTTCCGTGCGAATCAAGAATTCTTTATGTAAGAATAGAGCTTTATAAGACCGTAAATGCACCACACATTATGTCTCCATAAGATGGTAATCCTTCAATCCAATCCCCTAATTAAGTATACCCCCACCCAATCATAAAAAAATAATAACATAGCAAAACGGTGTTTAATTCTGATCATCTAAATTATCAAACGATATTCGCCGAAGTAGTAACTGAGAAGGGCGTGTTTTAAGATATACATAATGTATCTTACTATTTTTCGCTTATATAATTTGATTTTCAAATACAAACCATTAATACTTATCTTAGCATTAAAACAATCAACCATTTGTGGTTATATTGAAATCTGTAAAAGACGCATTCTTTTTGAATATATTTTAAAAAAATAATAAATGGAAAAAAACATATTATTAACGCTTTTTCAACAAGCAATTGTTATACTCTTAGTGATTTGTAGAGCGTCAAATCACAATGTTATTGTACTGTTTTAAATTGTAGATTTTATTCATTCATGTAAAACATTTATTACAATCTTATAATAAAATGTATAAAACACTGAGTTCGAGATTCAAATCACAAATCCATCAAAGCTAGGATACTGCAAATCCGAATATTTTTGTTTATAAAATATTTACTTTCCATTCAATAAATATTCCAGTCATCTAGTTTTGGATTTGGGGAAATTCATTCTCCTTTTCCCATATATACAGATTGGCGTATTATTTAATAATCAAACCAAACAGCATGTAATCAAAGAACGCTTGTATCCGCCATATGTAATATTGTCACGTGACATTGTTATGTTTTGTTTCGCTCGGGAAGCGTTTATTATACATAATAGAACTCCAGTGTAGTAAGCCATAACTATGAACAATATCATGTCCCAAATAAATAATCTAATTTGTAGATCTGCAATTGGTCACATGATGGTCCGAACATTATTTGTATGGCTCTATTTGTTGACAGCAAATACCGCTAATAATTATCTTGGATAAAATACCTCGTTTAGTAAACGAGGCAATTTTACCCAGCCTCGTTCTGAACAAAATACCTCGTTCCAAAAACAGGGCAATTTAAATAAACCACGTTTTGGAACTCCAGAGAAACGAGGTATTTTTTTTACCTCGTTACAACGAGGCAAAATCGGGGCAAAAATTTTGACACGTTTTTGCCTCGTTTGGACAGAAATGCCGAACGAGGCATTCTGAGGTTTATAGTGATACCACCACTACGGGTTCTTCGTCGCAGAAGACACTAACGTCGGCATCGTCTGAGATGGAGGACTCCATAACCGGAACTGGCACATCGTATCGGGTTTCGGCTGTAAACGATTCTTCTACTTCCATAGGTTCAGTTGTTGGGACCTCCATAACTTCTTCTTGTTGTTCGTCCATATCTTCCGTCTGCTTATTAGATTTAAGGTTGTTTTTTGTCCCCCGCCTTTCGAAGAAAGCAGGGGACTATTAAAATGGGTTCGTCCGTCTGTCTGTCCGTCACACTTTTTGGGACACAATAACTCTCTTCCTAATTGAGCTAGAATGTTCAAACTTGGTGTATGTGTTTATTAGGTCAATACCTTGATGGAGTTCGAAGATGAGCATTTTCCGCTTAGGGTAAGCAGAGATAAGCAATTTGATTGGTTGATGCTTTGGGACACGATAACTTTTA